TCAGAGCACCAGGGTGAAGGTAGTGAAGGATCAGAGCACCTGGGTGAATGATGTGGTGAAGGATCAGAGCACCTGGGTGAATGATGTAGTGAAGGATCAGAGCACCTGGGTGAAGGATCAGAGCACCTGGGTGAAGGATCAGAGCCCCTGGGTGAAGGTAGTGAAGGTTCAGAGCACATGGGTGAAGGATCAGAGCACCTGGGTGAGGGTAGTGAAGGATCAGAGCACCTGGGTGAGGGTAGTGAAGGATCAGAGCACCTGGGTGAAGGTAGTGAAGGATCATAGCACCTGGGTGAACACAGTAAAGTATCAGAGCACCTGGGTGAAGAATCAGCGCACCTGGGTGAAGGATAAGAGCACCTGGGTGAAGGACCAGAGCACCTTGGTGAAGGATCAGAGCACCTGGGTGAAGGATCAGAGCACCTGGGTGAAGGATCAGAGAACCTGCGTGAAGGATCAAAGCACCTGGGTGAAGGATCAGAGCACCTGGGTGAAGGTAATGAAGGATCAGAGCACCTGGGTGAAGGTATTGAAGGGTCAGAGCACCTCGGTTGAGGTAGTGAAGGATCAGAGCACCTGGGTGAAGTTAGTGAAGGATCAGAGCACCTGGGTGAAGGTAGTGAAGGATCAGAGCACCTGGGTGAAGTATCAGAGCACCTGGGTGAAAGATCAGAGCACCTGGTTTAAGGTAGTGAAGGATCAGATCACCTGGGTGAAAGATCAGAGCAGCTGGTTTAAGGTAGTGAAGGATCAGAGCACCTGGGTGAAGGATCAGAGCACCTTGGTGAAGGATCACAGCACCTGAGTGAAGGTAGTGAAGGATCAAAGCACCTGGGTGAAGGATCAGAGCACCTGGGTGATGGATCAGAGCACCTGGATGAAGGATCAGAGCACCTGAATGAAGGTAATGAAGGTTAAGAGCACCTGCGTGAAGGTAGTGAAGGATCAGAGCACCTGGGTGAAGGTAGTGAAGGACCAGAGCACCTAGGTGAAGGATCAGAGCACCTGGGTAAAGGTAGTGAAGGATCGGAGCACCTGGGTGAAGGTAGTGAAGGATCAGAGCACCTGGTTGAAAGTAGTGAAGGATCAGAGCACCTGGGTGAAAGATCAGAGCACCTGGGTGAGGGTATTAAAGGATTAGACCACCTGGGTGAAGGATCAGAGCACCTAGGTGAAGGTAGTGAAGGATCAGAGCACCTGGGTGAAGGTAGTGAAGGATCAGAGCACCTGGGTGAAGGTAGTGAAGGATCAGAGCACGTGGGTGAAGGTAATGAAGGATAAGAGCACCTGGGTGAAGGTAGTGAAGGATCAGAGCACCTGGGTGAAGGTAGTGAAGGATCAGAGCACCTGGGTGAAGGTAGTGAAAGATCAGAGCACCTGAGTGAGGGTAGTGAAGGATCAGAGCACCTGGGTGAGGGAAGTGAAGGATCAGAGTACCAGGGTGAAGGTATTGAAGGATCAGAGCACCTGGGTGAATGTAGTGAAGGATCAGGGCACCTGGGTGAAGAATCAGAGCACCTGGGTGAAGGATCACAGCACCTGAGTGAAGGTAGTGAAGGATCAGAGCACCTGGGTGAAGGATCAGAGCACCTGGGTCTTGGATCAGAGCACCTGGGTGAAGGATCAGAGCACCTGGGTGAAGGTAATGAAGGTTAAGAGCACCTGCGTGAAGGTAGTGAAGGATCAGAGCACCTGGGTGAAGGATCAGAGCAACTGGGTGAAAGATCAGAGCACCTGGGTGAAGGTAGTGAAGGATCAGAGCACCTGGGTGAAGGTAGTGAAGGATCAGAGCTTCTGGGTGAAGGTAGTGAAGGATCAGAGTACCTAGGTGAGGGTAGTGGAGGATCCGAGCACCTGGGTGAAGGTAGTGAAGGATCAGAGCACCTGGGTGAAGGTAGTGAAGGATCAGAGCACCTGGGTGAAGGTAGTGAAGAATCAGAGCACCTGGGTGAAGGTAGTGAAGGATCAGAGCACCTAGGTGAGGGTATTGAAGGATCAGAGCACCTGGGTGAAGGTAGTGAAGGATCAGAGCACCTGGGTGAAGGTAGTGAAGGATCAGAGCACCTGGGTGAAGGTAGTGAAAGATCAGAGCACCTGAGTGAGGGTAGTGAAGGATCAGAGCAACTGGGTGAAGGTAGTGAAGGATCAGAGCACCTGGGTGAGGGTAGTGGAGGATCAGAGCACCTGGGTGAAGGTAGAGACGGATCAGAGCACCTGGGTGAAGGTAGTGAAGGATCAGAGCACCTGGGTGAAGGTAGTGAAGCATCAGAGCATCAGGGTGAAGATAGTGAAGGATCAGAGCACCTGGGTGAAGGTAGTGAAGGATCAGAGCACCTGGGTGAAGTTAGTGAAGGATCAGAGCTCCTAGGTGAAGGTAGTGAAGGATCAGAGCACCTGGGTGAAGGATCAGAGCCCCTGGGTGAACGTAGTGAAGGATCAGAGCACCTGGTCGAAGGTAGTGGAGGATCAGAGCACCTTGGTGAAGGTAGTGAAGGATCAGAGCACCTGGGAGAAGGGAGTGAAGGATCAAAGCCCCTGGGTGAGGGTAGTGAAGGATCAGAGCACCTGGGTGAAGGTAGTGAAGGATCAGAGCACCTGGGTGAAGGTAGTGAAGGATCAGAACACCTGGGTGAAGGTAGTGAAGTATCAGAGCACCTGGGTGAAGGTAGTGAAGGATCAGAGCACAGAAGAGTGCTATGAAGGATCGGTGCACAGTTAAGGAAAGAAGTAAAAGAAATTAATTATCATAGAGTCATCATACCAACCTTCCTTTCACTACAGTCCAGGTTATCTTGTCAGACAAGTGTGATAACCCTTCACCACAGTCCAGGTCATCTTGTCAGACAAGTGTGATAACCCTTCACCTGTTGGAAATTTCCAACATAATTCAACATAGTTGTATTATTATTACTTATTACTAAAATCTACTAATTGCTGTAGTAACTAAAATTAACCAAGAGTAGAGTTCACATGAACTAATAATTGTATCTGTACAATAACGCTAGAATTCTTACGTAACCAAACACCAGTATTGCGTCAGATTCTACCAAAATAAACACATTTATATCCAGTGTGTCAGAGAATTGAGTTTGATTCTCTAAAAACAACAGTGTTCTGTGTGATAATTATTTACCGATAACCTGACTCCCAAATAATGCCAAATCGAGCGTTTCTAGTTACAACTGTTATCTGGTAATAAATTTAACGTCACAAGTGAATGCCGTGGAGAGAATTAATATCATTCTCCATTGCTCGTTTGACATCGTAAAACGAGCAAATAATAATATTTAGCTCCCTAGAATTATAAACCCATCTTTATCCCAGCATTTTAGCCCCAACTGCGAGAAATAATATTATTCGTAGTAAATAATTTGTGTGGCGAATGCGGGGACGCGGAGCGGAGCGGGGAGAGGGAGACACCATATTGCCGAGAGAGCGTGTGGAGGCGTCGACGAGACGACGAGAGAGGAAAGTTGCCAAAGTGCGGTGTGAAAACTAGTTGCGGAACTGAGCAACTTGTTTGGTGTCAGTGTCATAGGATACATCGTGGTGAATCGTTAACGAGAATTAACTTGACATTCAGCCCGGAACTTGTCAATTTGTTCCGTGTAATCCATCATGACCGGCCAGAGAAGCGCGTCGACATCTAGGCCAAGCTAAACGCCATGTGTTCGCCATTGCGACGCTAGAGCCTGGGACGCGAGCTTCGGCAAGCTTCAACTTATACAGTGCCCTATTAGCTAAGTACACCTATTCCCTTTTGATGCATCATTAGAGATAGTTTACAGCAGGGTAGCTTGTCGTCACGCCGAGCGACATAAATAAAACACATGTTAGTATATTTTATCTCTCTCCACTCTCAATTTCTTGAATATAGATATTTAGCAGCCTAATATGTTGCTACGTAATATATCTTGATTTACAGCTTGCGTGTGAGGAATTCCCCGAGCTGTTACTTTCCCGTGTTATTCATCTCCCAGTGTTCCATGATGAATTCCGGAGATTCCGCGGATGATTCATGACTGATGTCTTGGAAAACGTCTTCAAGCTAAGACCCTTTTCCGTATTCAATTATTCAAATGATTTGTACTGAATTATTACTATTGATCACTGCACACTGGATCTAACACGTGTTTATTATAATCATTAATTTCTGATATTCATAATCTATGTTCTTATTGGTGACAAATTCTCTATTGATTCTCTAATTGGTCATAAGATTAGGTTATTACAAAATGAACTGGTGTACGAACCACACTAGTTCCTAGACATATATGAAGTTCTAGCAATAACCCCCCAATGTAGGTGTTTGAGGCTTTGATTCAATTAAATTATATATACAGGCCATTAATTATTCAAGTGATTATATTTTCTAGTATTTATCCATAGTTACTGGTTCCTCTAGGAATTTCTAATGATCACATTATATTAGTTTCCCTCTTTACTATAAAAGCGGGTGGTCCTTCGTAATTGATTTCATTACTTTAATAATTAAATAAATAGAGTCAAGCCCCAAATGTCCCACATCACCACAGTCCAGGTCATCTTGTCAGACAAGTGTGATAACCCTTCACCACAGTCCAGGTTATCTGTCATACAAGTGTGATAACCCTTCACCACAGTCCATTGTTATCTTGTCAGACAAGTGTGATAACCCTTCATCACAGTCCAGGTCATCTTGTCAGGCGAGTGTGATAACCCTTCACCACAGTCCAGGTCATCTTGTCAGACGAGTGTGATAACCCTTCACCACAGTCCAGGTTATCTTGTGAGACAAGTGTGATAACCCTTCACCACAGTCCAGGTTATCTTGTGAGACAAGTGTGATAATCCCTACACCACATGTTTGGAAAATCACATAAGTGTGAAATTTCCAAAAAAAAATCATGTAATGCAATAATATTACACTGTGTGTTGCACTGGATAACTTTCCCGTTCCAGTACTTAACTCCAAGTCAAAATTGGTACATAATAATGACATCACAGAGACTGACCATGTCACCAAACTCGTTCATCGCCATCTCGAAGGTTGCGTTCTTCTTCCCATGATCTTTGATGGTCTGGAGATTATCCTCGAACACTTTCTTGCGACGCGTTTCTTCTGTTGAGTTCTTATACTTCCGCTTATAATTACCCTGAGGAAATACACAAACTCTTATGATAAAGCTGCATTATTAGTACTTAACACACTGCATTATTTCTCAGTTTACACAGGTACATGCTCAAGATATTTCTGATTCCACTAAAAAACAAATACCCGCCTGTTTAATGATTATGCTGGTATACCACTGGTCTAAAAGAGATTTTACTGTTCTTTAATGGAGTCACAATAATCAGAGAATCCAGTTGTGATATTATATGTTGTTTATTATTTTTACCATAGGAAAACAACTTTATCATCACCTTATTTAATATAAATTTATGGGAGTTGGTTGAAAACAATTATGAGAAACTCATCTCTGTTTTACTGTTAATGGTCCTCAATGAAGAGGATATACCCTATAGTCTAATAAGGGGTACAAGTGTTGTGTTGGCTGACTCTTCAGAGGTTGCATGGCGTTTTGCCTTTTTTTATGATATCTTCAACAAAACTGTTAGAGAAGCCGTTGTTGACTAGAACCTGCCTAACCCTACAAGCGTGACATAAGATCCTACTGTTAAGCAATGTATGCCTCGTTGTCCCTCCAAGGTGAGACAAGTCACAAGGAGCCTCCGTAATTAGGGCTATAAGTGAATACCTAAGAAAAGGTACCGTGGTTCACCTGCTTCACCCAGCATAACACACCCACCGCAGAACTGGTAATATATATAATATTCTAATCTTCCCAGATGAGAGCACAAATTATTAAGACAAATGATGAGTGAACTCCACCAGGTGCTTTTCAGGTCATCACCAGTGATGATAAAGTATCTTATCAAAGAACTCCAAATATCAAAAGTAAATGAAGATATATATATATATATATATATATATATATATATATATATATATATATATATATATATATATATATATACTATTACCAATAAAGAGATAGGTGTGGGGTGGTGAAGGTTCTCACTACCTCCACAGCTACCACTGCGTCGTTCCCTCTAAGCCGCTCTGCTGGCAAACAGTTCAGCTGGTTTTGGTGTATTATCAAATATTATTTTTCCAATTTATTTTGTACCGGGTACCAAATATTTTCGTGTCATTTTATGGCATAAATTTTACGCTTTCCTATATTTCTTGATGTCAAGGTTTAAAGATGTAGTTAATATTTGACGTGGATTAATAGGTGTTGGTTTGTCTCACTTTATTATCGCTCTCAATGAGTCAACATAATTAACCCCCCTTGTCACCTAGTGCGGGCTAGGTATCCAATGTCTCTTTGTTACACTTTTTTAAATTAAATTTTAATTTATTTATTATTAGTAATTTATTGGACTTAATTAATTGAGAGCATAAATATTTTTTAGTTATTATTAATTATAAGATCATAACTAAACTATTTATAGTTAATAATCATTAGATTAAATTTGCTTATGTTTATTATTCAACATTTTTCTTTGATTTCAGTTATTACCGAGGTTGCCTAGCCTCCCCATATTCCCTTACTCCATTGTACCCCTCGCTTTGCCTGTGTCTCATAATGTAAATTATTACTTACAGTGTACCTGAGAGTACTTGTAAGCAATCTACCTCATTTTTCTTTTCTTTTTTGTTCATTTTGTGTTTGTCTTCTATAGTCTTGTTTATATTTTTATTTTTCCCTCTTTTTATATGAAAATTTTATTTTGTAATTGCCATTCTTCCCTTGTTTTTCTATACAACCAGCATTTTTATGTAAACATGTATAGACCCAGAACTAAACCTCTTATCAAGTATCTATGAGAATCATCACTTTAATGATCAAAATTGCAGATATTTTACAGCATATGATGTAAACAATGTATTAACACATAATCACAATATCTCTGTAATTAACTTGCATGTAAGATCTCTAAGCAAACACTTCGATGATGTTAGTGCCTAGATTGAAACTATTGACAACAAATTCTCTTGTATTATACTTACTGAAACGTGGTTAAAAGAGGATACTACTCAACTTTTTAACATGCCAAACTACTCAGCAATTCACAACTGTCGACCAATTCAGAGAGATGGTGGTACTGCTCTTTACTACCACCAAGAACTAACATGCTTAAAAGTAATTAGAACTAGAGACTACTGTAGAGAGTATATCTTCGCCAGTTTCAGAGTCAAGGGTGCTGAGTCTGTCCTGACTATGGGTGCAATTTACAGAATTCCTAACACTGATGTGCCCGAATTCAACTTTAACCTTAGAAATCTAATACTAGATAACAGACTGAACAAAAAAATTTAATTATCGTACGGGACTTTAATATTGACCTCTGCGAGCCTGAAAACCCTACTGCTGCCAGCTTCCTCAACTGTATGAATTCCTGCTTCCTCATACCCTTAATCACTAGACCTACTAGAATCACTGATAGTACTGCTACGACTCCTGATCACATCTGGACCAACATAACCTCTCCGCTTACTTCAGGTATAATCACCGACAGCACTACAGACCATTACCCCACGTTTCTCCTAACAAACAATAACAAACCACCTCTAGAGACAAGGGAAATAAGCTTTAGGCTGCACAATGAAACTGCTATAGGCAATTTTATAGCTGCTGCTGCTAATGTCAACTGGGAGTCCGAATTAGGTAACATAGGGGACATCAACCTAGCAGTGTAATCTTTTCTTCAAAAAACTCTCAGCCTTTATAACACCCACTGTCCTATGCTAACGAAACAAGTCACAGCCAAAAGGCTAAACAATCCTTGGCTTACAAAGGGAATACTTGAATCCATTAATAAAAAACATGTCATTGCGAAGAAGTATAGGTTAAGAATCGTCTCCAAAGAATTCTCAAAGAATTACTCATTATTGCTATCTAAAATAATTAGTAGAGCCAAAACTAAATACTACGAAGATAAATATACCCAAACAAAGGGCAATATTAAGAAAACATGGAGCACAATTTCTCAAATATTGGGATCAAAGAAAATTTTAAATAACAAACCAATACTCCTGTCCAATAACGATGGCCTGCTTACAGCCTCTGATACTGCTATTGAGTTCAATAGGTTCTTCCCTTCCATTGGGTCATCCCTTGCAAAGGATATTCCATCTTCCAGTACTGATGTTCAGGACTATCTTACAGGAAACTATCCACAGTCTTTGTACCTAAAGCCCACAAATTCCACTGATGTTAATGAGATAATCATTTCCCTTAAAACCAAGTCTAGTGCCCTTGAGGAGATACCAACTTTAAATTACAAAAAGGCCCCCAGATCTTTAGCCCCTGCTATTGCATTGCTCTTCAACTTGAACACCAAACATTTCCAGATATTCTAAAAAAAAAAAAGCGAGCGTAACCCCTGTCCACAAATGTTGTGATCTCACTGAAGTTAACAACTACAGACCTATATCAATCCTGCCAAACTTGTATAAAATATTTGAAAAACTAATGTACAAGCAGCTTTACTCTTATCTAGCCAAGCGCAATATACTTAGCTCATGTCATTATGGCTTCATACCCAAAAAAAGCACTAACGATACACTTATTAGTATGTTTAACTTGATACATGCAGCTCTTGATAAAAATGAGTTCCCTGTTGGGTTATTTGTGGACCTGCGTAAGGCTTTTGACACTGTCAACCACCAAAACCTTCTTCTTAAATTACATCATTATGGAGTCAGAGGACACTCCCTGCAATACCTCAAATCTTACCTTACTGACAGGCTGCAGTATGTTTCTGTGAATAATTCAATTTCTCCCACCCTACCCATCAACATTGGTGTTCCTCAGGGCAGCATACTTGGCCCTCTCCTCTTTCTCATCTACATTAATGACCTTCCAAATGCCTCCCAACACCACAAACCAATTCTATTTGCTGACGACACAACCTACATTTACTCCAGTCCTGACCCCCTTGGTCTAAATGTCACAGTGAATACTGAGCTAAATAAAATCCATCTTTGGCTAACTGCCAACAAACTCACCCTCAACATTGACAAAAGTTTCTATATTCTGTTTGGCAATAAATCCTCAAATCAAATAAATCTTAGGATAAATAATACCCAAATTTGTAACAAAATATATGGCAAATTTCTTGGCGTTCTCATTGACCGCAAGCTGAATTTCCAGGGACACATTCTAAATATATCAAAAAAAGTTTCAAAAACTGTTGGCATTCTTTCTAAGATCAGATATTATTTACTCCGCCCTGCCCTGGTGACTCTCTATTACTCCCTCATCTATCCATATTTCATCTATGGTATATGTGCTTGGGGCTCTACTACCCAAAATAATTTACGTCCTCTAATTACTCAACACAAAGCTGCTATTAGGACAATATCCAACTCTGGCCCCAGACATCACTCGGTACCCCTACTCAAATCTTTGAATATGTTAGATAATAGGTCACTGCACATCCTCTCATGTGTATTATATATATATATATATATATATATATATATATATATATATATATATATATATATATATATATATATATATATATATATATATATATATATATATATATACTATTCAAGGCCCGATTTGCCTATATATAATTATATATTTACTATATATATATAAAGCAACCCTTTTCTCTATTATATATTTTTTTTTATTGGATAAATTAATATATATATGACCGAATAACCAATATATTTATATATAGGTTAGGTAGCCAAAAAAAAGCTAGGTTAGGTTAGGTTATATTAGGTAGACGAAAAAACATTAATATATATTAGGCAAATTGGGCCTTGAATAGTATAGTGCGTTCTGGCTATTAGGTATATATATATATATATATATATATATATATATATATATATATATATATATATATATATATATATATATATATATATATTAGTATATTTTGGTAGCAGTCTTTCCTGTAGACATATATTATTAAATATGACCGAAAAAGTAAGATTAATAATTCTAACACGAATTTTCTCAATCTTTCGTACATTATGCTTCACTGTTGGAGGTAAATCAAAAATCACTTCTCCAAAATTCATTTTTATTTCATTTTCAAAGACTTCACAAATACACAACTGATTAGAACTTACGCTGATCTACATTTGAGTGAGGTGGGAAGGGTGATGTGGCATTACATTTGAGTAAGGTGGGAAGGATGATGTGGCATTAGAGGATATTAATAGGGTATTAAAGTATCAACACAAGACAGAACACGAAACAATGGATATTGAATAGTGTTTGTAGAAAGCCTATTGGTCCATTTTCTTGATGCTTCAATTGGAGCGGACTTGCAATAATTGGCTGTTGATTGCTGGTGTTGACTTCTTGATGTGTAGTGCCTCGCAAACGTCGAATCGCTGTATTAAGATGATTTCTGTGTTGTTTACGATTTCTCTGGCGATGGTTTGGTTATGGGAAGAGATTATATGTTCCTTAATGGAGCCCTGTTGTTTATGCATCGTTAAACGCCTAGAAAGAGAGTGCCTATATACTGGGTTTTGGAGCTTACAGTCCCAAGTGGGCATTTGAAGTGATTTTTGATTTACCTGTGAAGCATAATACGAAAGATTGAGAAAATTCGTGTTAGAATTATTAATCTTACTTTTTCGGTCATATTTAATAAAATATATATATATATATATATGCGAACAAGCCTGAATGGTCCCCAGGACAATATGCAACTGAAAACTCACACCCCAGAAGTGACTCGAACCCATACTCCCAGGAGCAACGCAACTGGTATGTACAAGACGCCTTAATCCACTTGACCATCATTGTCCGGTCGTGATGGTCAAGTGGATTAAGGCGTCTTGTACATACCAGTTGCGTTGCTCCTGGGAGTATGGGTTCAGTCACTTCTGGGGTGTGAGTTTTCAGTTATATGAATATATATATATATATATATAATATATATATATAATATATATATATATATATATATATATATATATATATATATATATATATATATATATATAATATATATATATATATATGTCGTACCTAGTAGCCAGAACGCACTTCTCAGCCTACTATGCAAGGCCCGATTTGCCTAATAAGCCAAGTTTTCATGAATTAATATATTTTCTCAATTTTTTTTCTTATTAAATGATAAAGCTACCCATTTCATTATGTATGAGGTCAATTTTGTTTTATTGTAGTTAAAATTAACGTAGATATATGACCGAACCTAACCAACCCTACCTAACCTATCTGTATAGGTTAGGTTCGGTTAGGTAGCCGAAAAAGTTAGGTTAGGTTAGGTTAGGTAGGTTAGGTACTCGAAAAAACAATTAATTCATAAAAAATTGGCTTATTAGGCAAATCGGGCCTTGCATTGTAGGCTGAGAAGTGCGTTCTGGCTACTAGGTACGACATATATATATATATATATATATATAATATATATATATATATATATATATATATATATTATATATATATATATATATATATATATATATATATATTATTTATATATATATATATTTATATATATATATATATATATATATTTATATATATATATATATTTATATATATATTATATATATATATTTATATATATATTTAATATATATATTATATATTTATAACTGAAAACTCACACCCCAGAAGTGACTCGAACCCATATATACCCAGTTGTATATAGTCCTGGGGACCATTCAGGCTTGTTTGCATATATATATATATATATATATATATATATATATATATATATATATATATATATATATATATATATATATATATATATATATATATATATATATATATATATATATATATATATATATATATATATATATATATATTGGTGTATACTGGCAGCAGGTTTTCTTTCAAACATGTTTCATTGAATATGACCGCATATTCTGTATTTATTATTTTCTGGTTTAGGGCTTCTATCCCTCTAACTATTTTCTTAGCATCAGGGCTTAATTGAAATAGGAGTTCTCCAAAACTCATTTTCGTACTTTTAAGGTGAAGAAAAGAAGTGATTTTCTATAGAGTGTATTACACTTATTTATATAATTTGCACGCACAACGTTTCGAACCTCCATGGTTCATTCTCAAGTGAACAGATCTTACAATACTAGTTGATTTTATAACCGCACTGGGTCAGGTGATAATACACCTGATACATGTAATATAAAAACTGTAATGCCAATCCTGACCTTAAAAGCTTCATTGAAGGTTGTAACAGAACCCATGAGCACCACACTAGAAACACATACCTTTTTGATATTCTAAGAGTACGATTTAATCAAACTAGAAATGCTCTTCAAATCAAGGGACCCAGAATGTGGAATGACCTTCCCAATCATGTTAAGGACTGTACCTCTCTCAACCAGTTTAAGATAAAAACTATGCACTACCTAATTAATTCCCTTTAACCTACCTTACCCCTATAATGTCAATCCATGTCTTATTTAAAAAAAAACTGTTTGTCGACCTAATTGTATTTTTGCTGTTTTCCTGCCATGTTCCCCCCTTTTTTTATTTTTTTTATTTTCTCAACACATTTTATACTTTAATCTCAATTAGTATTAAGTTTTAGGCTTTAGTGTTTTTCCTGCCCGAAACGCTTTGCGTAATAGTGGCTGTAAGCATTGTATGTACTAGCTCTATCTATAAATTCATCAATATTTTTATTACCCCCTGTATGTATGTACTTTACCTGAATAAACATTTGAATTTCTTGAATTTGAATTTTTTGAAATCATAGTGACGTTCAGTACCAAGTAAATTGTAAATGATAATCGCCTTACCTTGAAAACGTCCCAGGTGGGATGGGCTGCCGTCAGAGCCAAGCCACACAGGAGCAGTATTGACACCTTCATCTGTTGGAATAAGGAAGCAAATCATTATATACATAGGCCTTAAATATTATATTTAAATGTCCGTTGCTGTTATGTAACTATAATGGGAGCTTATATTACTATAATCATAAGGTACATGGTAATGACGGGGTGGACACAGCTGCCCACTTTTGTGAACACTGAAGATTTTAACTGCAAATGATCATTTCTATAAACAATATCTACTACAGTGGGAGATCGTCAACACTCAATTACAATTAATTCTTGCGAACACTTGGTAACTAATGTTGCAGACATTCAAGGTTCTCACTGAAAGGTGGATTTCTGGGGCTGTGTGGGGGAGGGGGAGGGGTTTTATTAGCCCATTTTAGACCACCAATCAATTTGACTTCTCGGTACCACGATGATCTTGTTTCTTGAAGGTCGGCGTTCGAATCCCAATGGTCCAAGTAGCTGGGCACGTTCTTTTTATTCGTAAAATCCTATACTCTTGTCCTCATATCCCTTCAATGTGCTATAATCATGCTGGCTTAGCGCTTTCTCAGTATAATAACCTTCCCCTTACCAATTTAGATCAACGGGGTGCCGCCTTAACCTGACCTTGTGTGGGTTAGCAGACCTCCTTCTGCTGTTTCCATTTGCCATGTTGCATCCGCTTCTAGGTTTTGACTTCTCGTATGATTCCATCTATCATCATGCCAATAATGTTGAATTCCGTTGAATGGTTCTCGCATGAATAAGGGACAGACAATCTCACTTGACGCTCTAGGAATTATTAATATTGATAATGTTCAACAAATATTAAATAAAATATTGTCATAAATTTCTTGACGTCCTAATGCTTTACATTTCGAGATGAGTTCCAATGGATATGCTAATTCCTTGAAAACGTTCAGTAAAACCTTTACTTCAAAATATTATAGATGCATCGAATTTCCTTACTGAACTGTAGAGTCGAAGAGAACATTAGCAAGAGTTTAGAGTTTTACAGACGAGGAGTCACAATAACGTGGATGAAGTATGGTGACCAAATCACACACTAGAAAGTGTAGGGACGACGACGTTTCGGTCCGTCCTGGAACATTCTCAAGTCGATAGAGTTTTACCTTGGCTGGAAGAGTGGTATAGACCGCTGCTGAGTGTGGACCGCTGCTGAGAGTGTGCGCTGGGACAGTGTTACCTGTGGTCAGACCTGGAGTCTCTCCCAGTGACTAACGACACTACTACTTATATGCCTCCCTCACTGCTACGTCACCAAGCTGAGTTGCCTCAAACACTTCTCTCGCGAGTTAATTTATTCATGAGACTATTACAATGACAGTAAAATAATATAAACTGGAGATATGTTGTTTAGTTTAAACATTTTACATGATATATATATAATATACTAAAGTGAGAGTTGAGTAAGACGCATGTTGGTGAGGTCACACACACCATATTAGTGACTGAGGTGTTTAGGAAAACCTTCCAAGATGATGGCAATACATAGCAGTCTTTGTTATAGAAACCTTGGTTCTTATTGACGTTTTGCGAGTACTCTAATTGTTGCTCTTCTCTTTCCAGCTCTTTCCAAGCTATGGAACTTAAGTGTAAAATTGTCGGCTAATGAGACAAGTGGAAGATGAACCAATAATTTATTTATCATTAGTTTTCGACCGAGATGAAGAGCTTGCTTTTCAGATAATTCCATCTTCAGTACCGACCACCTCAGGTAATGTTTGTCTCCTCTGATAATTATATTTCCAGCGGCTCAGTTAATAGCATTAGCTATTGCATTGATATTAAATATTTCCAGAAGGTCTGCATGCGTTATATACCATTTGTTTTGATAAGAAATATTTTTAGCAAGTGAGCAAATGTTTTTCTTTAACTTCATATATTCAGTTTCAGTTTCGACTCTCATTAGACTTCACTCAAACTTCCATCACCTTACTAAAGCCGAAAAGTCTATAACTCTCATCTTCCTCAACGGATTACTTGCTCTAAACAATTCCTTTTGCTAATGCAGTTGTTCTTAGCTTATATGGGCATCGTATGCTCTATATTTTAACATCATTTTGGTAAACATCAGGTCTTGTGTTGGGTCACCTGAACACCTGGGTCCTCCCTCCTTTTCCCTGTTGGCTCTTTAATATGTTACTTCAAGAAGTGTTTATAAGTGGCATCTGCCAGTGTTGCTCTCTATCTCGCATCTTCCAGCGGGAACTTTATTTATCACACTCAGTTTCTCAGAGATAAGAATCCAGAAGCATTTACCCTCACTTAGTCCTCACTCTCACTATCACTGCGGCTGTCTTTTCCATTACCTTTCAGCATGTTTTGATAAATTTGTCGTATATGTTGTAAATAAGGATGTTGAACCTAACAGAATATTTCTGATTCCACTAAAAAACATTACCCGCCTGTTTAATGATTATGCTGGTATACCACTGGTCTAAAAGAGATTTTACTGTTCTTTAATGGAGTCACAATAATCATAGAATCCAGTTGTAATATTATATGTTTTTATTATTTTTACCATAGGAAAATAACTTTATCATCACCTTATTTAATGTAAATTTATGGGAGTTGGTTGAAAACAATTATGAGAAACTCATCTCTGTTTTACTGTTAATGGTCCTCAATAAAGAGGATATACCCTATAGTCTAATAAGGGGTACAAGTGTTGTGTTGGCTGACTCTTCAGAGGTTCCATGGCGTTTTGCCTTTTTTTATGATATCTTCAACAAAACTGTTAATGAAGCCGTTGTTGACTAGAACCTGCCTAACCCTACAGAGTTCTTCATCGACTTCTCTAATGGTTTAGTTAAAGATATCATAAAAAGAAAGTAGAAACGCCATGCAACCTCTGAAGAGTCAACCAACACAACACTTGTACCCCCTATTAGACTATTTTACAGCAACTTTTTTTCGACGGCTCATAAAACGGAGGAAAGGGTCCTGAAAGATATTGTTGATAGAAACGTTATCCCTACAGACCAAAATCAGAAAATGCAATTGACAATTTACTATAAAACCAAGAAAAATGCTACCTTACTCATGAAAAACTCTCCAGACACAAAGCAGAACGCTTTGAAGGAAACCAACGTCGTCGATGCCTTCAAATGCCCACTTGGGGACTGTAAGCCCCAAAGAACTCAGTATATAGGAAAAACAACAACGTCTCTTTCCAGGCGATTAACAATGCATAAACAACAGGGCTCCTTCAAGGAACATATAATCTCTTCCCACAACCAGACCATCACCAGAGAAATCTTAACAAACAACACAGAAATCATCGATAAATACAGCAATAGCAGGCGGCGCGACATCAGCTCGACACATCAATAAGTCAACATCAGCAATCAACAGCCAATTAATGCTCAACTATATTCTACCCTCTTCACGATCCCGAACAATATAGAAGCATCAAGAGGAGGTATGGGCCAATAGGCCTTCTGCAGTTACTTCCATTCTTATGTTTTCATACCCAATTTATACCCACTGTTTCGTGATTTTTCTTGTGTTTGTCACCTCACTCAAAACTTTTGTGCCATAACACCTCAACCAAAACTAGTATAAGTACGAAAATTGTTTTATGTTTTAGTCAGTCAGAGTCAGTCGCTGAGTGTAGCAGTACACAGTTACAGTCACTCCCTCAGTTACTCTTTTAGTACAGTGTAATCATGTCTCCCCAGGATATGACTTTCCTAACCATCCTTCTTGAATTACTAACGTCAGAAGGACAGAGTGATCTAGTAGCAAGAGCAAGGAAAATTGCTGAAGACGACCCAACCCTAAACGAAGCACCGTGGCAACTTGTAGGCAACGGAAAGGTAAACAAACGAAGAAGAACCGAAGAAACGTCCAAAGAAACCAAACTAGAAGCCAACCAGAACTCAAGAGCAGCACCCAAACTAATGCCAAGGACCATATTCAAAACCAAAAAACCAGTTGATGGTCCCACTTATGGAAAAGAATAATCCAGGATCAGATCATAGAGCCAAGCCCGACATTAGAGGTAGATATAACATATCCACAGCTAATCCGGATATAATCACAAACCTCAGGAACACAGAACACCTAGTTGAACTGAAACCAGAAGAAAAAATCACCAAAATGATAGTTCAAAATTTCCCGGTCGAAGTTCATGCAAACAGACTCCTAGAATGCCCAAATGTCACAACGGTGGAAAGATGCAAGCACAACAATATAGAAACAAGACAGGTTCTTGTAACAATAAAAGGACCTCGCATCAACACTCTGAGTGTTGGCATCTATGGTCAATTCAGGCTGAGACTGTACAACCCAGAACCCATGCGCTGTTACAGATGTCAGCGCTTCGGCCACCACAAAGATGGCTGCAGAGGCCCGGAACGATGTGGTGTATGTAGCGAGCTCCACAATACCGACATATGCAAGAATCTGCACAAAGAAGGCAAACAAACGAAAGCAAAATCCCCGAACTGCGGGGATACACATCACGCCTAGAACAAACGATGTCCAGAAAGGGTAAAAAGAATACTAGCTTTCGGATCAACCCAGCAACCCAAAGTAACAACTTCTAGACCCCAATCGACCAGACCCTCGGTAAAAAGCCAGTGGTACACTCCTGAGCAAGTCCGAATAAATGAAGATCAGCAACAGTCTGACGCACCAAATCCTTCTAGTCTGAGCAAGAACAGGGCCTCCAACAACTGGAGGAAACAAAGAAGCACTACTCCACTAGGAAACAGCAACAGAATAGATCAAGGTAGCAAAACGAACATACCTGTCGTTGCCATCAAGACCTCCCAAGTAGAAATGATGATCCCTACATCATCAAATGCCCCAGTAGCTGGATGTAGCAAAGACGCTTCAACCCAACCAAGAGTCTCCTCACCCACCAAGAAGAAAGTCTCCACTCCAGCCAAGAAGACACAAACCGTCGGGAAAACCAGTACTGTAAAAACCATGGACTCAATGATTCCACTATAACGGAAAAATGGACAATCTCAAAATAATACAATGGAATATTGAAGTATTCAAAAGCAAAGCACAAACACTCAGAGCAGTGCTTCTTAAGGACAGCATTGATATTGTTCTACTTCAAGAAACACTCACCAGGACTGGCAGAAATATCAATATCCCAGGATATCAAGGATTCCACTGCCCTATGGCACAAGGTGGCACCAGAGACATTTTAATTCTAGTAAGAAATCATATCAATGCCACGGCAGTCACAGACCTGCCCAACTGTGGCGAGAACGTCGAAATTATGGAAGTTAATCTCACTATGAGGAACTCAATGCTGTCTATCTTCAATGTATACAAGAGCCAGAGAGAACACGACATGGATCTCTCAACAATCTTTGAAATAGCAGTCACTACACCTACTATCATCTCTGGCGACTTCAACGCTCATAGTGAATTACTACTTGATTCACCAAGAACTGACGCCAACGGAAGACATATTGAACACCTTTTGGATGAAGTGCCGGAAATCAGTCTGCTTAATTCGGCGGAACCAACCCACACTGGTGGGGGAAAGCTGGATCTCACGTTTGTTTCCACCAGTATTTATGAGTTGTGTCATTGGTCAGTGGATCATGTTCTGACTAGTGACCACTTTGCTACAAAAACAGTTATTAATATAGCACTACCTCCTAGACCTCCAGCTCCCGAGCCCGGATGGGACTTTATCAAGGCAGATTGGACGAAGTTTAAGGAAGCTCTCGAAACTTGGCACCAAAACTACACTCCTCCTGACAACACCGAAGAAATGGAAAAAGATTTAGTAAATGCAATACATAGAGCAACAAATCACGCCATCCCCAAGAGGAAAACAAATAACCAACAACACAAGGACCATTGGTATTACTGTGATAGGATCAAAGAGCTACATAACAGACTAAATCGTGCACGAAAGAATTTCAGAAGAGATAGAACCGAAGCTAATCTAGGACTTCTTAGAGCTGTCCGAGATCATGTGCACGAAGAAACAGCAAAAATCAGAGAAGAAAAATGGCTCGAGTGTTGTGCCAAGCTAAATCAGCATACGTCCTTGGGCGACATCTGGAGGCAGATCAACAAGGCCAAAGGAAAATTGCCTCCTGCTCCGCCGCACCATGTTCATCCAGAGCAAGAAGCAGAAAGGCTAGCAAATCTATTTGCTTCAAGAGCCAGTTCCACTCAACTTCCTCAAGCAACTCTGACTCACCAACAAAGACTTCAAGCAGC